AATTTCTACAAGAAAAAGAGTGGTATATCCTTACCAAAAATCAGAGTTGGAGCTTAGATTGGTATAATTTTCAATTCTCTCGATGCTAATGTAATACCATTAGAATTCAATAATGCTTCCTATAAACAATTGAGAGGTCAGAGATGGTTCTTTTTAGGTTGTCTTTGTTTCCTGGAAAGTGGTTTCCGGGAAACCACTTTCCAAACTTTCCTGTGTTTGTTTGCTATTAAAAAAGTTAGTCAATAGAAAACATTTTCTAGTCAAAAGAAAATTTGGCTTGGTTTCTAGGAAAGTGTTTTTCTGTAAAATTTAAATGGAAAACACTTTCCGGAAGTTGTGAAAAATTTAGAAATGTCATTATTTGCTAATTATATTAAATTTGGTTCTCAAACTTTTTATTGCTATATATATTTTGTTTTGAATACTTATTTTTCAATTTCATCTCTTAAAATTTATTTTTTATATTAATTTTGATCCTCATTTTTATAATTGTTATTTGCTTTTTTCTTATTATTTTCTTATTGAAATTTTTTATCTATCAAACTTGGTCCTCATTCTTTTGATTGTTACTTATTTTTTTAATTTGTAAAATTTTTTCCTTACTATTTTAATAAACTTGAGAAAAATAAAATATTAATAAGTTATTTCCAACTTATTTTTCATGACATAACTAAACACTAGAAAGTGTGTTTTAACTTATTTTTCATTACATTACCAAACATAAGAAAATAATTCACTTTTCTAAAATTCACTTAAAAAAAAAAATTACTTTCCAGCAAACAAATGGGCCTTAATTAAATGGAAGATGTGAACCAGAGAGAAATAAGCAAATGATTTGGTTGCAGCTTTGATAAATATATGAAAGTGTCGGGTGTTATGAGTTCATCAATTATTTCATGCCTTTTCTTTATTAGCAAAGTCATATATACTCATCATCCTGCAGTCTGGAAGTTGCTGCAGTCATTTATGGTATTCCCTTAACTTGTGAAGAGTTTTGCGCTGTCATATCATATTTAGTTTGAAATACCTTTCCTTGTTTAATTTTCTTCTTAATCTGTCTGTATTTATTCTGTGTTATTGTGCTCTTCAAATACAGGTATTGATGTATTCTGGGTGAAATTACTTTTTGAATCAACCTGCAAGGTACAATGTGTTTGCTATCTGACATAAGTGTGGGAATTGCAGGTAGGTGTTGTGGCAACCCCAGATATTCATTCCTTTGACCTCACAGACAGAGAGCACTTTATTATTCTTGGTTGTGATGGCCTATGGGGGGTATGGCTTCAATTTCTGTCTGACATCTTTGCTATTATAGTTAGTCCATGTTTTTTTAATCTTCTTCGAGCTCTACTTCTATAAGTTTGAAAAGTATCGTTACACATTTAAGTGCTTCTGTATTTGTTTCAGGTATTTGGACCAAGTGATGCTGTTGAATTTATTCAGAAATTATTGAAGGTAAAAGTACACCTGTTTAGTAGTGAAGTACTATTTGACTCGTTGTAGAACTTGAATAATTAGTTGAATTTTGTCCATTGTGCTATCCTTCTTGATTTAGCTGTTGAAATTTACCTAGTAGCAGAACTTAAGGAAGAGTGGCAGTTTAATGGAAAATTACTGCATCTTTTCAAGCTTTTAGGAAGGGAAATCCTAATTGCATTGTAATATTCAAATAGCATTTGATGGATTACGAGTGCTAGTTTTATTTCTTTGCCTTTAAGTACGTACAAACAAAGTAAAAAACTGTATAGAATTCCATTTAGAAATGAGCTATAACCTACATGCGAATGTCACTTTTTTAGGCCTATAAATAGGATGGTGTGCAACCTAGTTTCATTGAAATTGTTATATGTACCTTTCCCATGCCTAAGAGCTCTTTCATCCTCGATTACTGTTTTTTATTTCTAAGGTAGAGGAGGCTATATTGTTGCATGGGAATTGGTACATGATACCTGATACAAGGTGCTTATATCTAGGCTTACTAAGTTCCTATATAATATTTAATGCTGGTGCATGGATGGCAAAGTGGCCCGGCTCATTAGAATTAGAACTTCCCACAAATATGACTCATGAAGTACTCAAAAGCTAGTCATAAAACTAGCTGAATTGTCTATAAAACTGTAGCTAAGGCATTAATGTTGAATTTGAACATGACTTTCTTGATATTGTAAATTAATTTCTGTGTTTATAGAAACCTCTAGGATTACCATACTCCATGTTTTGAATTGCAAGTTACTTTCACACCAATAATGTATTTAAGCATTGATTCTGATTCTTTTTTCTTTTTAATTAGACCCCTACATCAATTGATGACTTACAAATTAGACATGTTTGGCAGGAAGGTTTAACTGTTGCAGCTGTGAGCCGCCGTCTTGTAAGGGAAGCTGTTATTGAGCGGCGCTGCAAAGATAATTGCACTGCAATCATCATTGTTTTCAAGCACAGTTAACACGGAGGGCCACCGATGTTCTTTCCATTGGAAAAACATCCCAGCAGCTGGCCATCAGTACATGGAGGTCTTGACACCTGTTTTTCTGTAAGAACTGCTAAAATATTGTTTCTTGGTTTATCTCTTGTTGGCAGTACAAGCTTGACTGTATACTCAGACGTCTAGAAACAAAACTATGCACTACTGTTTAATCAGTGAAATATGTAGTGATGTGGTAATTCTTGCGGTTGCTGGTCCTATAACGATTGCTAGATGTTTGAAGATACCGTACCCATACATTCACTACTGTTGCATGGCAATCTTTACCTTGTTTTCTCTGAACTCTTCTTTCCTAATAGTTAATGCTGATTCAAAAGTTTTATTAGTATCCTATATAACCATCGGCAGTTTTGATCTCATGAAAAATTGATAAATTGAACACCAGCAGAATATTATACCTAAAAGTGGACATTCTAATGGAGATTTTGAACACCATCCCTACTTTTTATTGCATCCAATAATAACCAAACCCTACTTTTTATTGCATCCAATAATAACAATAACAACAAGTGGACATTCTAATGGAGATTTTGAACGTTGTTTTGCAAACATCTGAGGTGGAGCTTCTGAAGACCAAAAAAGAATGGTTTAAGATTTTGGGAGACCTTGAACCCTAGAGGATAAAATTTGAAGTTTTTGAAATATCTTGCTGCTCAAAGTTACTCCACTGTTCTTGCAAAAAAGTGGCTTAAAATTTTTGAGCAATACAATTCCTGCTGTTTGTCCGAACTCTGAAGTACTTTTTGTTTGTTGCTTTATTAATTACCCCCCCTTCCTTTTTTTTTTTTGTGAAACAGGTAAATTGAAGAAACATAGATAGGAGGGATATGCATGTGTGCTTTTTGCTATTTTTTGAAAAGATTATTTTCTATGAACATATGCTTTAATTAAACCTTTTCAAGCCACATCAAGTTCAGCATTCAAAGTATAAACAACTCCATGTCGCTCCTGTGATTGGGCGTTCCGATTAACAAGAATCTCAATTTCTTTTACATTCAAGGTATGATGGACAGAATTGGATACAGAGAGAGTGGAGAGCCAGTGTTTCCACCACTTTCCTGTAACTTTGTTCGTTCACCAAGTTGACAGGTGGTTCGTGAATGTAGACAGATAAATTAAAAAAAGAAAAAAAACCTCTACGCCCTTTGTCGCGGCTCAAGAGTGCTAATTTCCCATGTGGCCATGCATTTATCTTAACCAAATCTTCCCTAGTCTCAGATCAGATGCATTTGTCTAGTAGAGAAAAATAGCATGTTCAGTTCTGTCCTAAAGTTATAGCCATTGTATTAAATGGTATTTAAAAGTATGGTGATAATTATTTTTTAAAGTCTTTTTTATTTGAAAATATATTAAAATAATATTTTTTTTATTTTTAAAAACTTATTTCTGATATTAGTATATTAAAATGATTTAAAAATATTAATTTAAAATTAAAAAAATAAATTATTTTATATATTTTTAAAACAGAAATAAATAAGCCCTTAATTACCTCAGCTCAAAGCAACCATGATCCCATTCAACTTGCTAAAAAACAAGAAATCGTACCACATTATCCGTTTAAATTATGATAATTAAAGATATTGATTCGTCAGTGATGGGTAGTTGGTCTCATAATCTTTGCTCTGAGCCAATCAAAGAATCATTGGAGAGAGAGCTGTTTGCTGACTGAACAGAACAAGAGCGGCAAAGCAGAACAAAGCATTCATTCAAGAACATATCAAACCATTGCCGCATGGTTTTTTCTCTATCTTGTCAAGCCACACCCTCTGTTTGGAAAGCCTAGTGCAAAACACCATCCCCGGTTTCCCACATTGCATTTGTGAATTTTCAGGGGGGAAATGAAAGACAAAACTGGCTAGAAGTTTTCTGCTGTGACAAGCTTCAATCCTAGGAGCAACACATGGCGTGATCCATTGTAAAAATTGCATGTGTTTTGTCTCTCTCAACTTGTTGTTTTATACATAAATAAATGGGAAATACCCAAATCATATGGATGACCACATGCATGCTGCAATCAGCGATTCTTTGTCCCACCTTCTGCACCTATAAAAATTCACAATAACCACCACCACCACCCACAGCTTAATTTTCAGCAAAATTATTATTTGTTGAAATAATTAGTATATCTAGATGACAAACTTGCCTTTTGGTATCAAGTTTATGTATATTGCTAGCATTATTGTGTCTGCTATCAGTTCACAAAACAATAATGCTATTGACCATGCTTAACTAAAAACATTTGGTGGGTTCATGATTCATGATGATCCACTGATTTAAAGCCGGAATTCTCACTCTCTAATCACCTGGCCAACATGCTTCACCTAGACATTGTCTCCCCAACAGAATTCAAATCTCAAGTCAACTAGGAAATAAAATTTGAGGTAAATGCATATCATCATTACCAATTGCTTATGCATGTAACGTGAAGGTGGCTTGATACTTCCTCCATGCAACATCAACTAGTATAAATATGTTAACGGGCACCAGCCAAAAGGAAAAAACACATGTACCTTTATGTACACATAACTATATAAGCAACTTCAGATTTTGTGATTGTATAACATCCCAAAGGGCAAGCAGAAAATAAGGAGAGGGGAAATATGGCAGATAGGAGTGTTCTCCCTCAGAAAATGAAACTTCTTCTGGCCTTAGTTGCTCTACAGTTTTTCTATTCAGGGTTTCATATTGTTTCAAGGGTAGCACTAAACATTGGTGTTAGCAAAGTTGTTTACCCAGTTTATAGGAACATCATTGCATTGCTTTTATTGGGACCTTTCGCTTATTTCTTTGAGAAGTGAGTCTTCAGTACGGTGCTCGCTTTTCTGTTTCTGTTTTGGTAGTCTATATATATATATATATATATATATATATATATATATATATATATATATATATATATACTGGTTTGGATTGGCATTTACCCTTGTACTCTATTATGGATTGACATGTTCAGGGAGGAAAGACCACCTCTTACTTTCTCTGTGCTGGTTCAACTCTTCTTTCTAGCATTATTGGGGTGAGAAGATACATTTGATATCTAAAATGTATAATGTGATGGTTTCACTACTGTCTGTTGTTTTAACTTGTCTTTTCTCTGTTTCAGAATCACTGCAAACCAAGGGTTTTATCTCTTGGGATTGTATTATGCATCTCCAACTTTTGCTTCAGCAATGCAAAATTCAGTTCCTGCAATCACTTTTGTCATGGCTTCTGCTCTAGGGTAACGCAGACTCTTTACGTTGAACTTTCTTCTCTTTCTTCAACAAAAGAAACATTTCTTAAACTTTTACCCTTCTCCTCAGACTTGAGAAAGTCAACATTTCTAGGAGAGATGGACTAGCAAAAGTTCTAGGAACCATTGCAAGTATAGGGGGTGCGTCTGTCATTACACTCTACAAAGGCCCTCCTCTTCTGTATCAGATAACACAACAAGAACAAGGAATAACATTTGAAGAAGATATGTCTTCGAAGAAAATGCAAAACTGGACATGGGGATGCATATTCCTGTTTGGGCACTGCTTATCATGGGCTGGCTGGATGGTCTTTCAGGTAAAGCATATTTTGTCACCACCATATAAGTTGCATAAGACCACAGCTATGCAAATCATGTGCTAATCTGATCTAGATTGCTAAAAATTGTAGATGGCATATAATTTACTACTGACCTTATGAGCTAAAATATGAATTAATATTTTGCAGGCTCCTGTGTTGAAGAAGTATCCGGCAAAGCTCTCTGTCACTTCTTTTACATGCCTTTTCGGATTGATCCAGTTCTTGGTCATTGCAGCATTTGTAGAAACTGACTTCAACCATTGGAAAATCCAATCAGGAGAAGAACTATTCACAATCCTATATGCTGTAATTAACTTAAATTTCAGGCTTCCTTTTATTTTTCTGTCATTCTGTATTGAATTTAAAATGGATTCTTCAATTTCATTCTTTTTTAGGGGATTGTGTCCTCTGCTATAGTCATTTCCCTTCAAACATGGTGCATTCACAAAGGTGGTCCTGTCTTTGTTGCTGTCTTTCAACCAATGCAGACAATTTTGGTTGCTGTTATGGCTTCTCTAATACTTGGTGATCAGTTGTACTCTGGAGGGTATGTGAACATTCCCACAAAAAAACAAACATTCAAAATTCATGGAATTCTGCAATTAACATATAAGCAGAACAGAGTTATGTTTTGACACTAACTTTCCTACATGCATTTCAGGATTATCGGTGCAATTCTTATCATGCTTGGTCTCTATTCTGTTTTATGGGGAAAAATTGAGGAGAAAAGAGTGGAAATTCAAAACAGGGAAGAGACCCTGACAAGGAACCTTCTTGAAGACAAAAATAAAGACAAGGAAGAGCGGCCTTGTATTGTCTGACATACCATGAATATCCTGCGCTTTATTTATTTATTATTTATCTCCAAGACTGAAGATGTTCTGAAAACGATGGCTACTCTTAGAAAAGAATCAGTTCTAATGGTTTTTAGATTAGCCCAACATCTCAACATGCATGTATATTTATGGGGTTTGGTTTCTCACAGATTTACTCTTTTATATTGAATCTTGAGCTAAGCTGGCTATAGACTTGAACTCCATTCAGAGGAAGTGAGGCTCTTCAAACTGTACCACTAGTAGTCTGCAACTAACTGAGGCTCTTCAAACTGTACCACTAGTAGGCTGCAACTAACTCTGTACTTAAAAATGATTCTATCCGAAGATATAAAGCCATGAGAATTTCAATGCTATTCTGAAATCTTGCTTTTCAGACACTGCCTTACTAATGATTGTAGATTATACAATTACTTTATAGGGACAAATTGAAAAACATGCACATGACCCAGCTTAGAAAAGCTCTGGCAATTATTTTAAGATTGATAAGGTGATTAAGAAACCATCCAGATTAGTCTCTTCCCATCTCATACTCATCAAATTGGTCGCCAGGAACACCATTAATCTCACTCTTTGAAATATATACAGAAACATGTTTAGTATTCCAGCCATCAAGAATTTGTAACATGGACATTTTCCCAAGTTGTTCTTGATCAACATCAAAATATACAAGAATCACCCCTTTCCCTACTCCAGTGAAGAGCACCATTATACAAGACCTTATCTGATAAAGAGCCAGTTTTTGGGGAGTAAATCTCCTATCTGACAGTCTGAACTAGTAAAATCATCTTACACTATCAACTTCGTTGTCAGGTTATTTCGAAGGATCGAAAGCTAACTAAGTTATAGGGAATCGATGCATATGGCTTGGTAGGAGGATTGTAAATAATGTTCTTACAAGCCCGTGAAACTCACTCAATATTATTCCAGATAAGAGAGAACCAGTGGTTGGATACACACTTAATTTCGTGGGCAGTCAGAGAAGGATTTTGATAAAGAGGTAGTAGTTGTTGGCAGTGATATCCACGGATATAAAGCATGATATAGGAAACTTGTTTTGTTACTTTTATTGGGAGAACATTGAAGGTGGAAATTGCTTTACCAAATTCATGTGCAGGGCTTTCCTAGACTGACAAGAGTAAGAGCCATAGCTTTTTTACGATTAATTTAAAAACAGGCTTTACCGCAATCCCATTTGAAAAGGAGAACCAATTGATTTGAAATGCCAGCTTAGAGCAGGTCAATGTAAAACAAGTTTCTAGGAACTATTTTTCCTTAGAAGAGAAGTCCAATGCTAATCGACTTCTTTTTTGCAACCCTGGCTTGTCAGGAATTATAGCATATTTCTTGATTGGGGGATTATAAACAAAATAGTTTTGTATAATTCGATTCAACGAGGCACACAATAATAATCCATTAGTGGACCTTTTTTTTTCTTTGGTATGGACCCTCTCCAATACAGGCTTTCAAAGCTTGTGCTGTTTCAATCAGTTCTCTCACTGATTTAAACCGTAAGGCAATTAACCCTTCAATTCCAATCGAAGCCTATATCTCTGCTTCTCAATCATATTTTCTTCGGTGGGGATACAGCGCAAAGCAAACAGTGAAAGGTCATGGAATCCCTGCTCATATTCCAAAACTGACATTTCCCCTTGTCTCAATGCCAAGAATTCTTGTTCCTTCAGCTTGCAATGGTACTTGGAATGAAACTTATTTTCAAACTCTAATTTGAAGTCGCTCCAGGTCAGTGTTTCGGTTCCCCGTTGTAGTTGGACGGTTTCCCACCAAGTAATGGCCCGATTGGATAACAATTGAGTAACACAGTTAACCCGTAGATAACAATTGAGTAACACAGTTAACCCGTAAGCCCTTGGGTATATAATCTGGACCATAGTCTTCTCTACTTTTCTAATCTACCTCTCGGCTATCTCAACATCTTGTTCCCTCAGATATAGTTCACAACCCATTTCTCTCATGCTTTTAACCAACCATACAAGTAATACCACATTGTCCGTGGTCGTGACACTCCTAAGGGCTACCTTTGGAATTTGTGTGGCTGGAACTGTCCGTGTCATAGGGCTAGCCATGCCCTCCATCAATGCTTTAACTATCCAGACTAAGAGTCTCGTGTCTACATATGGTGAGGGCTCCCCTGCTGGTACGGTCGATGGATGTGCCTTTGTTTTTTCTTGCTGCCCTATCTTTGCTGGGGGTATTTCTTCCATTCTGTTTGGTACCTGTTTTCAAATCGAGGAGCTAAAAATATATAATTTAGGCAGTAGCTTCACTAATGCTCGATTGATTGACCAATTAATTTAGTTATAAAAACTGGTGAATCGGTTTATCCAAAAAATAAAATTTTTAAACTTTTATTTTTAAAATATATATATTTATCTAACTTTTATATGAAAAACATAGTCTCTAATTAAAATTTTAAAAAGATACTATTCATACAGTAGTTATCCTCTATTTTTAATCATCAACCGATCACCCAATTAAACCGATCATTATGAACTGATTGACTGATTTATGTCAAACCTAGATAGACAATTAAATTTGTAGCAAAATAGATTTTTCATGGTTTTCATGCTTGCAGGGTATACATTTTATCATTTAAATATATCTAACTTATTTTCATTAATGCACACATAAAAATAAGGAAATTGTATGATTTGTTACTTAATAACTATAATAATAGAAACTATGGAAATGGTATAATGTGATACTTAGTATCTATAAAAATGGTAACTAAGGAAATGATATGATTTGCTAGTAGCCAAAAGAATCGGTAACTAAGGAAATGAATTATGATACTTGGTAATCAGGAAGGCGATGACTAAGAAAATGGAATATAATAGTTGTTAACCAAGAAAATAGTGGTAAAGGAAAGGAATATGATGCTTAGTCCACAGCGAAAAAGGTAATCAAGGAGACGAAATAATACTTAATGATAGAAAGATCAATAACTAAGAAATTGAGGGTGTTACTTGACTAGTCATAATAATAATGACCTAAGTGACAATTATGAATTTAGATGTTCTAGGATCATAACTCCTATAAAGAATACAAATGTAGAAAGGACAATAACGATATGTGAAAATTAGAAATTCAATATCAGGATGGAATGGATTGTATTCTTCAAGGAGTACCACTCAATTACTTCATATTTGACTAATTGAGTGGTACTTGAAGAACCTATATGTTTATTTATTATTGATTTACCTTACCTAAATGTTACCTTAAGAATATTGCATTTGTAGTTAAGCCAATATTACTAGGTTGGCATAAAATAAATAATAATTCATTGGGAATAAAAGGATATACAAATGAAAAAATTAGTTAGTCATTGAATAAACGATAATATGAATGAATTGCATAAGGTCAATCAGAGAACAATGATTTACTCTCACAAATAAGGATGAGATAAACACCAAAGAAGTTACATGAAATTATTAACTTAATTGCATGTAAAATCATATGATGCAACACAGAAAGGCATATCAAATGGATCGTAAAGAAGGAGTTTGTTATACAGGGTTAAGTGTAAATTATGGTTGTCAAAACCAAATTAATAAGCTAAGTTTAATATTAAAAAATAAGTCATAAATAATGGAAGTAGCTAGGTAAAAAGGTGTAGGTTGAATTGATAGAAAATGTCTAAATAGATGTAAATCTTGCTTTGAATGATAAATAGTAATACAAAATGTATAATAATATAGAAATTTTATGAAGTGGTAAATGGTATTAAGTATTCAAGAATGATGTAATACTCATAAATGAGCCAAAAATATGTTGAGATTGAAAAATGATATAAACAAGTTATAATTGATATAACTGGAGGTTGAGATTTAAGAATGATAATGAGGCGTAAAAGAAAGCAAAAAAATATGTAAGAGAAAGCGAGCATTCAGCTTGAAATGACATGGCGAGTTGGAAGGATTTCAGACCGCCATATATCTTAAAGGCTATATGGGTAGACTATATGGAGCACGTGACGCCCACGTGTTTCACTATACGGTCACAATTCGGTATAAAGAACTAGCACCAGTGTGTTCACGGTTTCGTTACCACACATACTAAGGGCTTCGTTTCATTCGTTTCTCATGTGAAGCGGATGATAATATATTTTTTATTACTTTAATTTTTTTATTTTTTATTTTTTATAAATATATTTAATTGACAATATTTTTATTTTACAAGCTACGGTTCTTAGACGCAAACCAAACTTGATGGAAACTTTTGTTGAAAGCATGTTCACAGTGATGACTGCCAAAAATAGGTATAATAGTTCGTGGATAGCCAAGCTCAATACTTTGTGGTATGTTAGTTTTCAAGCAATTTTTTTATTAAGTTATAATTTCTTTTAATTTGATGAATTTATTTTTTCTTTCCAGGATATATATAACATTCGCTTGAAGGAAAGATATGGGGGCGATCATTTGATCCATCTATATTTCGATTTGGATTTATGGTGGAGGTAGGATCATCCAGTGAACTCGATAGAAATCAAATGTACAAACTCTCTAATACTATGGTCGAGAACTTGCAAACATAGTGTTTCGATCGTTGGATGTTCGTAATTGATTCCAAGCACTTAAACTCCTAAGTTCGAGGTGATGTTAGACCAACAAGTACAGGATTAGATGACCTATGTTAATGAAAAATATGAACGGCTCACTACAGATTATGAAGAACTTCGCTGAGTAATAATGGAGAAGATATTACACATAGGTGATCTATGTGCTCCTTTTTATTGGCCCTATAGTCTTAGTGAGGACGTTGCTCTTTCTCCTTCTCCTCCTTCAATGTTGACGTTGTTTTAGATTTATTCCTCCTCCTCTAGTGTCACCTCTATTTTCAATTTTTTTATATTTAATTTTTATATGATTTTAATTTATTTTTCTACTTCTATTCAATATTTTTTTTTAATATATTTTAAATCATTATTGACGAGGTTATCGACATAACACTTCCGTCGATATATTTCAGATGGTTGAAAAATAATTACTACAAATATCATTGCTATTGTTAACTCTAATAGAATTACAAATGATATTTTATTGATGATATGTTATATTATTGATGGACAAATAAAAATACATACGGTGTTTTATCAATTATATTGTAAACTTCCAAAGGAAAATTCTGCTAGAATAAACATGTAATTTTTTTTGCAGCACTTTGCCAATCTATAAATTCATTGGTATATTTATTATTGATATACCAAAAATTACTGACAAGAGTATTGTTTTCAT